TGTTGTGTACTCAGGTGAATAATATGTTTGTGATGTTACACTGAGTGCATATCCACACCGGGCGAGCTTGAAAAATATGCCCGGCCACGGTGGGATTCAAACCTACGACCTTCGGAATACTAGCCCAATGCTCTTCCAACTGAGCTACGCGGTCAGGACGGTTCGAGTAAGTGATATTTCGGAACAGTATATATCTAGTTCCTTCAATACCAATGTGTTCTTGTAATATGAATTTTTTCTGTGCTGGTGTTGTGTACTCAGGTGAATAATATGTTTGTGATGTTACTCTGAGTGCATATCCACAACGGGCGAGCTTGAAAAATATGCCCGGCCACGGTGGGATTCGAACCTACGACCTTTGGAATACTGTGAGAGAGTTAGAAGTAGAACGTTATGTAAGAACAATATAGTGGCGACCATGAGGAGAGAATATTCAAGATGGCGGACGCAGTAAAATTATTGTTTGTATAAGTCTATATGTTTGCGTATATTTTATCATTTATTATTAAAAAGAAGAAGAATTAAAGAGGAAAATTAGAGTCCGCGGGGGTCACCGGGCTTCAGCCAAGCGCATAATTGCCGCAGCTGAAGAAAGTCTTCAAGTATTCGACCCAAACAACCCAGAAACAGTTATTAAGGTGAAACAGCAGCTGACCACCCTCAAGGAAAAAATGAAAACTCTGAGTGTGCACGATGAAGAATTATTAAGTTTGGTCAAGGAAGAAGAAATCGAAAACGAGATTGAACAAGCTGATATATTTAAGGAACGATTACAACACTCGATAGTAAGCATCGAAATGGCACTAGAGAAAATTGCAAACGAGACATTGGCTCATGGTAGCACTGTTAGTGGCACATCACCCAGCTCGTCTAATGTAAGTCAAAATTCATCTTATTCTGCTACTGTAAAATTACCAAAGTTAAGCTTGAAAAAATTTAGTGGGGATGTCACAAAGTGGACAAAATTTTGGGAGTGCTATGAATCTGCCATTCACAATAATGCTAATCTCACAAAGATTGAAAAGTTCAATCATTTAAAATCACTTTTGGAACATTCTGCAGCAGAAACTATAGAGGGACTGCAGTTAACAAATGCAAACTATGGTGAAGCAATTAAGATCTTGAAAGATAGGTTTGGAAATCAACAAATTATTATCAATAGCCACATGGAAGCCCTGTGTAATATACCAAATGTTGGAAGTA